TGTGTGTAGCCTTCAATTTCAAACGCTTCCTACAGGAACATACTGCTGAAGGGTGGGAATGCGATCGACGCAACAATTGCTTCGTTATTCTGCTTGGGTATTACAAATCCACAGAGCAGTGGTATCGGAGGTGGTTTCCAACTAGCCCTTTATAATAGGTGTGTCAATTTCTTGTTTTGCTTCAAGTGTGATATGAGTTTAAGATAATTCCTAAGATTGCTGCAGCATAAAAACAAGCAGAAAGGTAAAGAAAGGGACGTCTTTTCAATTTGTAGTTGATCTTTCAATGTCTTTTTCAGTCTCCAGATTCTAGCATAACTTTGAATTTGTAGTTGATCTTCTGCACAAGACTGTTGATCAACGTTGATTTTTGGAGGAATCTGAGTTTCGCGTTAGACCTTGGTGAATAATGAATTCGCTCATGTCGAGCGTCTGTTCTTCTCAAACTGAAAAGATTCTGGAAGCATTTCAGTGGTCATTCATTCAATATGTAATTTTGTTTTATTGCAGAACAACGCAGCGATGTACCGTTATCGATGCACGCGAAACAGCACCGAAAAAAGCTTATCGCGATATGTTTCTGAACGATGAATTCGGTTCAAAATACGGTACAACATTGCTGTTTTTGGGAAAAACTTACGTTATCTAACGGAATACTTTTGTTTTTTTTAGTCAATCGTTATGTGAATTGAAACAGAGTTGTAAAAAGTTTCATTTTTCGCCACTATTCTCCAATATAGTCTGTGACCGCATGTTTTTCTCATTCATATATTTTGTTTCGTTGAGCGAATCGCCAGTCTCAAGCTACCAAATATGGCAAGATTATTGATGGAAAAGTGACCCTTGCGATCAAAAATTCATCCTCTTATTCATTCCCATGTTTNTCGTCTTGCAATGTTTGCAGTCAATGTCGAGTTCAGTTGAAACGTTCTAGGATTCCGTGCAATCGCAACACCTGGTGAAATCGCCGGCTATTGGCTGGCTTATAAGAAATTCGGTAGTGGACGCATTGGCTGGGCTGAACTCATCAAACCAGCAATTCAGCTGTGCCGTGACGGTGTTCCCGTCTCCGAGTATCTCGGCTATGTGCTTGGTGTTAAAGAGAAGCATTTTCGAACGCTACCCTCAATGCAGTACGTGATTGATTACATACCATATCCCTGAAGTGTGATACTGATATCTTTAAAGTTTTGTCTAGTAGGACGGATTTCACTCAAACGGGTTGTTGTTCGAGAGGAGAGTATTGTATCAAAGGAGGTACAACATATGCCAACCATATTCATAGTTCATTTCGGTTATGGTCGAAATAAGTGAATGATAATGCCCCGTCATGAAGACATTTATAGAGGTTGGATCAACAACAAAACAAATAAAGTATTCGTTACGGGTGATATCATAAAACGACCTGAACTGGCTGATACTCTCGAGATATTAGCGAATGATCCAGACCCGGTTGAACTGTTCTACCGAGGCAAGATGGCAGACACGATCATTGAAGAAATACAAGCAAACGGTAGAGAATTAATGGAATACCTATGATGCATTCTGAAAAATGTGATTTTGGGAATTCTTCTGATATGATACTTGTTAAGTTTAATAGTTAAGGAGATTCAGAATAACTATTTGACTGCATCGGTTGATCACTAAATAACACGTGCGATTCATAACACACTTATATTTCACCTGACAGAATTCACTGATTTGGTGAAATATCAAGAATACTTAGCAAAAAAAGATTTCCAGACTTAAAGAAATAGAATCTGTCATCTATTTTGGTGCTCATTCGATCTTCGCAAGCGGGAAAGCTCTGTCGCAAATTGATTATTTCGTAAAAGATTCGAATTTTAGTGAGCATGTGAGGCAGACAGTGATTCAGTCTCCAGTCAAGAAAATTAGTTCAAGAACAAAATATCAGACTATCATTTCAGGTGGAATCTTAACGAAAGAAGATTTGGCCAACTT